TTAAGGACCACTTGCCCAGATAGAGCACCTAGAGTAGGTATGGTGGGTTATCTTCCTAGGAGCCATTTCACCCTTCTCCCTTCCTCCTTCTGAAGAGAGCCCTGATTTTTAGATATTGACCCCTCCTCTATGCAGGCCACCACCAAGAAGAGGGTTGATTCCACCCTGAGTCCCAGGCTCAAGTTCTGGTCACTTAAAGCCAATCAGAAGGTTCCCTTCCAGTGAATGTAGTCACTGGTTCCAGGGGTGGACATGTGACCTAGGAGGTCTGATCAGAATGATCACAGGACTTTCGTTTCGAATGCTGAATTAGAAGTGGATTCTCTCTTCCTCTGGAGGGTGTCCTATATAAATGTGACAACTGGAACTACTACAACCTTTTCTCTACCAGTTCAAAGATAAAGCCATCACAAAAGGCAGGACAGTCCTTGAATTCAGTCCTTAACTCAGGACTTCTGGATACACAAGCCAGGAAATGTGCTTGATTGTTAATGCCAGTTTGAATTATAATTTGCTAGACGAAGTTAAAAGCATCCAGCGGATATAGTGTCCAAATGACGTGGAGCGAACAGAATTTCATTCTCCCCACAGTCAATACACTTTGCATTCATTCTGAGGACATCAAGAGATAAGATCTTAGCAGACCATTGAAATAAGATTACTTTATTTTGCCGAATATACTTAATACAAAGAGCTGGCCCGCGTATTCTCACCTAAAAACGTCAGCACTGGGCCATGTTATTTAACAAACTGTCTCTCCTTTCCACTCCTTTTGTGTCTGATTTTCAGTGAACTCTAAATGGCATTCTAGATGAGTCTGACAGAGAAAGTGTTGGCTTGTTGTTACTAACAAAAAAGGTGTAGCTGTCATCTAAATCTAGCTTTGATTGCACCAGCAGAATGATCAGGAGGCCTGACATTTTGTATATATGTATATTTATGTGACCATCCAATTCCTGTGCCAACAGATAAGAAATTTGGGGAGCAGTACACTAATACCTTTTTTAAAAAAATAAATAAATTGATTAAAGTGGTACTCGATATTTGGGTGATATTTTAACAATTACGCCATGTTCTTATATATATAATCTCAACAACCCAGGGGAAGATGGCAGTTGAGGAATTACTATGCCCATTTTACAGATGAAAAACAAGAGATCCAGTGACTTGCTTAAGGTCATAAAATAATCAAAAAGTGATGGAGTTTTGGCTTAAAGACATTAGATTTTAAGTCAAAACCTTCCCACTATTTAGGATTATGTCTAATAAACATGCACATAATATTAAGATAACTGTCAATATTTTTCAGCTCTTACTCTGGGCCAGGCACTAAGCCAAGCATTTGGCATATTCTCTACATTGAGTCCTTACAAGAAGCCATGAGGTCTATGCCATTATTATCTCCACTTTACAGATGAGGAAACTGAGGCCCAAAGAGGTAAAGTGACTTGCCCAAAGTTTCAAGAGGCAGTGCTACAAAGAAGAGCGAGCTCTGGACTTTGAGCCAAAGGACCTGGGTTCTAATCCACTTACTTGCCATGTGACCCAAATTGCTTACTGCCTCTGAACCCCATTTTCCATATCTGTAAGTTTGAGGTAACACTCAATAACATCAATAAAATGGAGATAATGCAGGATAGTTAAGAAAATCACATGAGATAATGTGTATACAACCACTCTGTCAACAGCAATGTAGTTGGTCTTAGCTAATAATTAAACTATAGACTTTTTAAACTGAAACTATCCATCCAACTTAGCTCCCTTATTTTACAAGAGAAGAAACATTTGACTCCAAATATCAAATGACTCACTCAATGCCACACAACTGATTGGTAACATAACTAAACCACACAGCTCCTGATTCTAAATCCAATGTTGTCATGCTAGCCTCATGTTGATAGGTAATGATCTAGATTAAATTTTGGGCACTCATTCGTTCAGCAAGTGTTTAGCAAATACATACTGTATGTGAGGTGCTGTTCTACATACTGGGGACTCCTTGGTGAACAACAACAAAATGTTCTTACCCTCGCAGATTTAATGGTCTAGAAAGAAAAGGATCCAATCTACACCTTTAAAAAAAATTATCGAGTGACTACTGTTTTAAGCACTATGCTGGGATTTCTATTCAAATCCAAATCCAAATTCCCAATAAGTATCGATCATGCTTACCAGGCTTTGCTTAAGAATAAATAGTGTGAAAAGCCTACATTTTACTCAGTAAAAATCAGTATTAAAAAATGAGAAGTTCATTAGGAGGAGTTGTGAATAACCACAGTGGAATCTCAAAAAGTGGATAGAATGGGGAAGATGACTAGAACTCCACTCTACTTGAAGCAGCAAGACTGAGTGGAACAGGTTAGACCTAAGCCAAGTCCTCCCTTCTACAGTCTCCAGACTTCAAGGGTTGGCTCAGTGGGAAAAGCCCAGTAGGTGGCATTCAGTGACTCCTTCTCTCTCCAGGCCTCTGTCTGGTGCCCTAGACTCTCTTTTGACTTATTGTCCATTTGGAATTTCCCTTCCTCACTACCTAAAATAAACAATCACACACAGGTGACACAGTGGAACAGTATTCCAGACCCTGTAAAAAGAGACTGAGCTGGTGACTTTCAGCATCCCCTACAGGAACTGGCTATCAGGCTGCTGAGACTGGGCCGTTAGGTTGTTTGTTTGAAAGTTTTCTTTACCAAAAGATCGCCAAAATTACATAATTTGGAAAAGGAATATGTAAAAGCTTTTCTTTTTCAAAAATTCCATAACCCACCTTTTGTATGAATTATGAAGGAAGAATGTGTCACACTGTTTAGCAGTCCATATACTTTTTGTGATTCCTTGGAACAGAGGAAAAAAGGAGGGAAAGAGGGAAGGGAGGGAGGAGGGGGAGGGAGGGAGGAAGGGGACTTCCTCAGGGCATGTACTGGTGACTCTGAAAGATTCTTTTTGAAAAAAGCATTTTGTTCTCACACCAAACAAATGGCAAATGTTTTTCTGTGTATGTATGACCTTATACCCAGAAGTACAATTTTAATTCCTGGGTTTAGAATGCTCTAAGAAGTTTCATGATTATCAAAATAAAATTTTTAATTCATTTTAACTGGTTAAATGATAATCACCATTTGGGGGCTGAAAAAGATGTGCCACAAAATAAAACATTTGACTTTTTTTAAGCAATGCCAAAATCAACATTTTTACATCATGTCATTTTAACCACGTTGGCGTCAGTTGGGCCATATGAAGTCTAACTTTCCAACTGTCATTAGACTGGCTACAATTTTGTTTCCCAGAACACAAAACTACAGATACATGTCCTTTGAGGAATACTTACCTATTCTAAGGAGGACTTAGTCCGGAAGCAGAAAAACAGTGGCACCAACTCCAAGTGGGCGCAGGGCAGATAGAGCAAAGGAGAACTCAACAGCCCCACTCCCTGCTGCTGGCCCCTCCAGTATCTACGTGTTCAATATGGGCTAAAAGACTTGCACGTCCACTTCAGGAGGTGAAGCAAAGTGCACCAACCAACTGCCTTGAGATCACAAGACAGTACATGCCAAACACTTCTGTGCAACCAACTCTGTGGCAGCAGAAAAACTGCCTATCCTGCTAATCTTTCTATTAGTAAGTTTAGCAGCAATACTTAGCTCAAAAGGAAATTCAAGATCCTCTAGAAAATTCAGGGGGAGCCTACTTTCCTGGGAGATCATGAGACCCCACATTCCTGCCCTGAAACTGTCCAGCTGTCCTCGTGTCACAAGCTCCCACCAGGGCGGGGGCCGCGGGGGCCGCGGGGGAATGGGAAAGACCATTCATTCATTCATTTATTCATTCTTGGTTAACACAGCCCAGAACAGATTCCTGCCGCTGGGAGATGCTGCCCCCATTCACCTCTCTCGAGAACTGCGTAGGGTGCCCTGGAGCTTCATTGAAGACTGGGCTAGGTAAGAAGAGGAAATCCCATGGTAAATAGAGTTAAAAGTCAGAAACAAATAGGGCTGGGCCCAAACGCGACCTTTCCAAATTGTGCGCTCGGAGTGGGTCGTGGGAGAGGGCACACATCTGCCTGCATACACATGTGCCGACAATACACACACTTGCAGCTCATAACAGCTCTCCTGCAAGCCCAAAGGTAGTTACTACCCAAGGATGGGGCTGCCGGCAAAGCTGCCTTTGCCCAGACAACTCTCGCCTTCTCCAACCTGGGCAAGAGTGAATGAATAGCCACCAATACTCCAAAGGGCGCTTTTTTTCCTGGGACCCTGGAACCCAGGTGCCGCCGAGGTCCCTGAACCCTGAACTCAGCTCAGTTCAACTCTCACGGTCTCACAGCCCTTTTCCTTTCTCTGAAACACCGCGATTTCTCACAATTCCTTTAGAGGTAGCTCCAGTTCCACGCAGCGCGCGCCCCATCCCTCAAGGCTGGAGCCCAGGGCTGCCCAGCCTCTCTCCCTCCCAAGAAACTTCGCAGCCTCCTCCCTTCCTGCCCCCACCACGCCTTGGAGAAGTAAAGGCCGAGGGAAGGGAGCTGGCAGGGAGCCGGTCGTTGGGTCTGATGGCACCTTAGAAGCCCGAGTGCCAGAAAGAAAAATGAGTGCATGCCTTCTCCACGTGGATGAAAGGAGGGAGAAAGAGTGGGCGACGTGAAGATGCCCCTCTCGGTTCTCGGAACTCCCATTTCCTGGTGGGATAGGGGACAGAGAGAGGGGTTTGAGTCTCCAGGAGACAACTGTCCGATGCTCCCTGCCTGGGCGCAGCCAGATGAGCGCGAAGCGTGCATGCCCGAAGGGGCTTGGGCTCGGATAGCATTCTCCTGGCGCCTTCTGGGAACAGTGCCCCCATCTCTGGGTAAGACTCCCAGCCTCAGGAGGCGGAGGAACCGAAATCTGGCTTTCTAGCAAGGCCCTGGGATGGGTTCCTCACCCCTGACCGCGCACGCCCACCCGCAGAGGCCCCCCACCCCGAGCCGGGCGCGTACCCTACTTCCCTCGCCCCCGAACCTCCCGCACCTGGATGTGGCAGGAGATCTCCGAGTCGTCCAACAGCCGGATGGTGCATTTCATTTCCTGGCTGAGCGATTTGATGCTGGAGCTCCGAAAGTGGATCATTTTCATGGTCCTCCTGCCTCTCGGCACACAGTGGCAGGAGGCGAACATGCACCGCAGCCCGGAGGAGCGAGCGGGAGGCTCGGGGCCGGCTCGGCGCTCTCCCTCAGAGACACACACACTGGAGCACGCACCGTCCTGGACACCTGGGTGCGACTCAGCTCCGGGACAGCGGCGGCGACAGGCGCCTGCAGCCACGCTTGCCGGGCTGCTGGAGCGTAGCGGGCGGGTCCCACCCTCCTCCTCCTTTCTCGTCCTTCCTCCTCCCCCTCCGCTCCCTCCACTCCCGCGCCTCGCCCGCTCCTTTCCCCGCCTCCGCCCAGTGTGCGCGCTCCTGTGCCTCCCTCCGCCTGGGCTTGCTTCCAAAGGGTGCCCCCAGCCCGTGATCCCCGGGCAGGCGTGAGATGCACTCACTCCCTCGCCTCGTGCCTTGTCTCGGGAGAAGAAGGCGGAGGGACTGCTGGTGCTGGGGGCCGGGCGCCTAGCAGTGGCCTGCTCCTGCCGCTGCGTCAGGCTGGGCCCGGCCACCTCCTCCCGCTCCCTCCTCGATCGCTCTAGCTCCTGGTAGCGCTCGTCCCTGCCCCGGCTCCCCCATGCGCCCGACAGCTCTGCTCGGCCCCAGGGACCTGGCTGCAGACAGAGGATGGAGGGTGATCCTGACCTACAACCGCAGGGAGGATTCCACCACGGGAGACGACTGTGGGACCAAGGACGAATCCCAAAGAGTGACATGAAACGCTGGCACAGCTACACCAGAAATACCGCTAACAGTTACAGTCTCTGGTACTCAGGAGGATATTTTTAAGCCTTTATTTTATTTAATATTAACTGGAGCCAATCTCCTTCTCTGAAAAATTCAGTCTTCTTAAATTCTCATGTTGATGTCCCCCAACATTTCAGTATGATCTTTGGTAGCAGTACTTTAGACCCGAGCTACGTGGTCCCTATCCTGCCCCTCCCCATCCAGGGACCTTGCACCGGCTCCCCAGTTACCCAGGAATGTAGACGTGGCCGGTCCCGATTTAGGCCAGTCTCTGGGCACTGGGGCCCCTGGAATTCCTGCCGGCCTCCAGGGTGTTGGGCATCTCCTGCCTCTCTGTCTTCCCCAGGGTGGTTCAGGCCCGTGTGTAGTGTGACTATAGGCCCAAGGGCTGGCTGTGGGGCAGGTGGATGGAGGTTGGATGAGGAGACCAGGACACTCAGGAGTGAAAAGAGGAGGGCCCCTGGCCCTGCTGCCCTTTCCTGGGCTGAACAGGTCATTATTGAGGAGTTAGAGAAGGACTTGTTGCTCAGCTGCCAGCTCTTGCTGCCACTATACAGAACCCCTCATCCAAAGGCTCACCCTGTTCTGGAGTTGGAGGGGTCATGACACAGCCTTTTCGCCCAACCTTAGTGTCGTCTAATGGGCCACAAATGCTCTAGGCCGCCCTGTGGGGTGGGCGGGGGCTTGGAGGAGCCTGCATTGCAGCCTGACTTCTCTCCCTGCCTGCTCCTGCTTCTTCCCTGTGCTGATCACTATTAATACCCTTCAGGCCAAACTCAGGCTCAGTATCTGCTTCTGCAGACTCCAAATGTGACAGTTTGTGAAAACAGAAGTATAGAGTATATTTTATATAGAGTGATTGCTGCTTTCAAATAGTTTGATAAGAATGTGTGAGCATCCATGGGTACTCTTGCACCGGGCCTGCAAATATCACTGCAGTTCCTACCAGGGCCTGGGAAGATGTGAATACGATTCTTGACCCAGCTACTGGCCAACCCTGGGGATTCTGGGAAAGTCTTGTCATTTTTTTTCTTAAATTCAAAGACAGGCACATCCATATTTGTTTTGCCTATCTCACAGGTGGCCAAGAAGCTGAGGATAAGACAACATCATTGGAGGAAGCCAGGTTACGGCCTATAATCTGTAAACCCCCATATGCACAGAAGAGGTAGCAACGATGCAACTGTCCCAGTCCAGTTTCAAAACTGAAACTAGAGTTGGATCATCTCTCCCAACCCAAAGGGCAGATCTAAGATAGCCTAGAGAGCAAAGAAAAGTCAACACCCAACATAGTCCACACTTTTCTTTTAAGGACAGCTAATCCGTCCTTATTATAGTGACCTTTGGCTCCAACAGAGTCATGCTGAACAGTCTAAAATCATTCTCTCAAGTTTCAAGGAAGCAAAATGAGACCAACAAGGACAGTAGAGGGGGGCGGGGGGAAATGGTTACCCCCAGTTAGAAAATGAGAAGAATCTGGTATTGGTTACCTAGGCTGGTTTGGAAGGAAGGCTGAGATTCAGCTAGTATAAAAATATGGGCACTGGAAGAGCTTGGCATAAAAAAACCAGCTGGTAAATTACCACATACTGTCACTTGGATTGAAGTACCCATTGAAGATGTGGCCAGGGAGATAGAGAGATAAAGAGACAGACAGAGCAAGAGGTACTCAGAGAATGAACTCAAGAGAAGAGTTTAAAACTGGGCCACTTAAAGAAACACAATGGCACACTCAGATTCCTAAATTCTTTTAAAAATCTGTATTCCTTACCACATGATTTCACTTATATGTGGAATCTAAAAATCAGAATAAATGAACAAACAGAACAGAAACAAATTCATAAGTACAGAGGACAAACTGGTGGGAGGGGCATTAAGGGACTGGGTGGAAAAGGTGAAGGAATTAAGAAGTACAAAATGGCAGTTACAAAATAATCAAGGGGATATAAAGTACAGGTTAGGTGATATAGTCAATAAAATTGTAATTATGTATGGTGCCAGTTGGGTTTTAGAATTATTGGGGTGACTACCTCATAAGTTATTTAAGTGTCTAACCACTATGCTGAACACCTGAAACTAATATAATATTAGATGTCAACTGTAATTGAAAATTTTTCAATTTTTAAATTTAAAAATCTGCATTCTTTCTATAACAGAGCTAAAATAATTTTTATTAATTGAACCACAGGCTAAAATAACTGAAAATTACTCAAAATTTTGTCAACAAGTTGCCAAATTACAAAGTCAATTGATTTATGAGCCTTGCCAGATCTCATATGTAAGAGAGTTATCATAAGGAAAGAGCAGGAATCTGGGAATAAAAATGGGACCATAGCCCTGGCCACTGTGACTCAGTTGGTTGGAGCATCATCCTGTAAACCAAAAGAATGCAGGTTCGATTCATGGTCCAGGCACATGGCTAAGTTATGGGTTTGGTCCCCAGTCAAGGGTGTACAAGAGGCTACACATTCTCACATCAATGTTTCTTGCCCTCTCTCTCTCCCTCCCTTACTCTCTCTCTTAAAAAAAAGAAAGAAAGAAAGAAAATGGGACCATAAAAAAGGATTTAGATAATTCCTAGTCACTCAAGCCCCCAAGTCCCTCTTGGTAGCACAAGCAAAACCTGTTCTCTTATATCCTGAGAATGTTTCTGCCTTGTATGAAGACCTTATTCTAACCTCACCTGAAGCAGTTACCTCTGAAAGGAAGCTAATCTCCCAGCCCTCACTCACCACCTCTGACTACTCTCTTGACTCAAAGATTCATAATACTTTGAATCAAATCCAGGTACACCTGAGAGGCCAATTACAAAGTCAACCCCAGAGGGAGAAAGAATGGCATGGTTCTGCTATTTTAGTTGAAGAGTATATGTGTGAATAAACCTAAATGTGTCAACTTGAGTGTACGTTCCAGTAACTCTGGTTTCGATGTATTATCTAAATTAATTGACCTCTAGACTCAGTTAAAGGAAAATGAGGAGGAAATCCCATGATATTTTACAGGAAAGAATCCAAAGAATCAAGAAGAAAGAAATATTGAAGTAGATTTTCACACATAGCCAGCTCACCTCTCTTGTAACCGTTTCTCCTGAGGGTGTCTCCATCAGGTCTTTCAGAGAATCATTGGTGAAAGAACACCACAATCTCCGTGAAGTTCCGCAGCGGCTGTGAAAGTTATTGCACTTGAAAGGAGCTCCTTGGTTTAAATGAGGCTTAACATTGATAATTAAACTAAGAAATACTTAGGCATAAATCTAACAAAATATGTACAAGATTTATATGAGAGAAATTATAAAACTCTGGTGAAAGAAATAAAAAAACCAAATAAATGGAGAGATCCCTGTTTGTGGATGGGAGAACTCAACATTGTTAAGATGTCAATTCTTCTCAACTTGATCACTGCAATTCAAATCATAATCCCAGCAAGTTATTTCATGGATATCAATAATTTTTTTCTATAATTTGATGGCAAGGCAAAAGACCCAAAATACAACACAATACTGAAGAAAAACAAGCGAAAGGACTAACACTACTTGACTTCAAGACTTAATATAAAGTTACAGTGAACAAAGACAGTGTGGTACTGGAAAAAGAATAGACAAATTAATCAATGGAAAAGAATAGAGAGCCCAAAAATAGACCCACCTAAATATAGTCAACTGATCTTGGACAAACAAGCGAAATCAATCCAGTGGAGAAATTCAACTACCCTTTTCTGTGCTGGAACAACTAGATAACCACATGCAAAAAAAAAAAAAAGAATCTAGATGCAGAACTTATACTGTTCATAAAAAATAACTCAAGTGCTAGCCAGGTAGCCCAGTTGGTTAGAGCACCGGCCCATACAACAAAAGGTTTGGGTTTGATTCCCAGTTGGAGTGCATCCGGGGGCAACGGATCGATATTTCTCTCCCACATCGACGTTTCTTTCTCTCTCCCTAAAGTCAATAATAATAATAAAAAAAATCCTCAGGTGAAGATTAAAAAAAATTAACTCAATATGAATTGCAGACCAGAATGTAAAATGCAAAGCTATAAAACTTCTAGAATACAGGAGAAAATCTAGGTAACCTGAACTTTGCTGATGACTTTTTAGATTTAACACTAAAAGCACAATAAGTTGGATTTCATTAAAATTAAAAATGTATCCTCTGTGAAAGACACAAGAATAAGAAGACAAGCCACAGACTGGAAGAAAATATTTGCAAAACATGTATCAGATGAAGGATTTGTATCCAAAATATAGGAAAAAAAACTTTTTACAACTCAGAATCACAAAACAAATAATCCAATTTAAAATTAGGCAAAAGACCTGAACAGACACTTCAGTAAAAGATATACAAGGTGGAACCAAAAAAAAAAAAAAAAGGAATTATCTTCAGGAGAACAAGTACCTTGTAGCACAGGCTTCCCCCACTAAGTGAGTGTTCTAGGAACCCATTAGTATCAG